CCCCCCCCCTTTTTTTTTTTAAGTTAAAGTCTCACTCTCACCCAGGCCGGAGTGCAGTGGCACGCTCATGGCCACTGCACCCTCAACCCGCTAGGCTCAGGTGGTCCTTCCTCCTCAGCCTTCCAGGTAGCCTGGCTAGTTTTTTGATTTATTATAGAGATGAGGTCTCGCCAAGTTGCCCGGGCTGGTCTCGAACCCCTGGAAGCAATCCTTTTACCTCGGCCTCCCAGAGTGCTGGGATTACAGGTGTGAGCCACTGCGCCTGGTCCTCCCCCATCTCTAATGGTGTCCTCCTCTTTCCTAGACAACTTTGTGGTGGATCAGACTTCTTGTGTGAGGGCCTGTCCTTCTGACAAGATGGAAGTGGATAAAAATGGGCTCAAGATGTGTGAACCTTGTGGTGGTCTATGCCCCAAATGTAAGTAGGTGGTGGCAAGAAGTTGTAACGAGACAGCTTTTCTTCTGAGGCTACTCAGATCCCCTCTCACTGAGCCTGTGTTATGTTTGCAGCCTGTGAGGGGACAGGCTCAGGGAGCCGTTTCCAGACCGTGGACTCCAGCAACATCGATGAATTTGTGAACTGCACCAAGATCCTGGGCAACTTGGACTTTTTGATCACTGGTCTCAATGGGTTAGAGATTCTGCCTTCCCTCCCTTCCAGTCCCCCACCCTCTCCAGCCCTCACGGTTTATTTCATTCAACTAAACTTACCTATGTGGAGCTAACTGAGAATCTAAGTTAGAAAATCTTAGCAGTTACAAAGGACCTGAGAGAATGCTTAACTCAACCTCCACCCCAGGCTTTGCTTCAGGGACAATCAATCCTTAACCAATCCAATACCATCCCACCAAGGGACAAGGGACAGGAACTGTGCATCCTCCTTTTTTTTTTCTTTTGAGTTGGATCACTCTGTCGCCCAGGCTGGAGTGCAGTGGCACGCTCATGGCCACTGCAGCCTCAACCCACTGGGCTCGGGAGATCCTTCTGTCTCAGCCTTCCAAGTAGCTGGAACTACAGGCATGTAACACCATGCTCAACTAATTTTTTATTTCATTGTAGAGATGATCTTGCTATGTTGCCCAGGCTAGTCTTGAACCCGTGGGCACAGGCAATTGTCTTGCCTCCACCTCCCAAAGTGCTGTGATTACACGTGTGAGCCACCACACCCAGTTCTCCTTTTCAAAGTTTTCTAGGGGCAACTCCTTCGGATCCCCTCCCACTGTGGGAGCTTTTCTGTCCTCTCAATAAATCCTGCTTTCTCTAAATAAATAAATAAAGTTTTCTAGCTGGGTGCAGTGGCTCATGCCTGTAATCTCAGCACTTTGAGAGGCTGAGATGAGAGGATCACTTGAGCCCAGAAGTTCAAGACCAGTGACATTCCATCTCTCCAAAAAAGACACAGATTCGCCAGGCACAGCAGCACACACCTAAAGTTCCAGCTACTTGAGAGGCTGAACCAGGACGATAGCTTAAGCCTAGGAGGTTGGGGCTGCAGTGATTCAAGACTGTGCCACTGCCCTCCAACCTGAGCAACAGAGCAAGATTCTGCCTCTAAATAAATAAATAAATACAAGTTTTCTAAAAGTTCTTCCTCAAATTTAGACAAAAATCTGCTTCTTCATGACTTTCAGCTATTTTCCCTCATTCTGCTCCTTAGGGAGGAAAGGGACTTTCTAATCTCTAGGACAACACTTAAAATGTGTGTGTGTGAGAGAGAAAGAAGCACTAGGGCCTTGCTTTTTTTTCTTTTAATTTTTTATTTTGGCATAATTTTTTTTTTTGAGTTGGAGTCTCACTGTGTCGCTCAGGCTAGATTGCAGTGGCAGGCTTACAGTCACCATAGCCTCAACCTGCTGAGCTCAGGTGATCCTTCCACCACAGCCTTCCAAGTAGCTGGAACTACAGGCATGCACCACCATGCCTGGCTACTTTTTTTAAAAATTTATTGTAGAGATGAGGTCTTGTCAATTTACCCAGACTGCTCTCAAACCCATGGGCTTAGGCAATCCTCTCACCTCAGTCTCCCAAAGTGCTGGGGTTACAGGCATGAGCCACCACATTTGCCCTGCAATTTTTATTGTTGTTTGTTTTGTTTTTGTTGCTATTTTAAGAGATGGAGTTGGCCGGGCTCGGTGGCTCAGCCTGTAATCCCACACACTGTGGGATTACCTCAGGCAATCCACTCACCTCGGCCTCCCAAAGCGTGGGATTACAGACTGAGCCACTGAGCCCGGCTGGTTTCTAATTCTTTACAATTATTGTTTTTTTTTGGCATTTTGTTATCACTGATTTAGCCATTGGAAGCCCCTTGAAGTTGGTTCCTGTGGTCTTTGGGCTGTACCCTCCATTCTCTGTATACTTCCTTTTTTGCACAAGATTCTCTAGGCTTAGGTTATATTTCCCCTGTCCCAGCCATTTCTCTATGGAGCCTGTTTCCTTGTGGTGGGCAATGGTATTTAGAACTCAAGTTCTGAGGCTAGGGGTGTCCATTGCTACTGGGTTTTACCTCTGCCTTATTAACTGGTTTTTACTATTCTCCCCAGAGATCCCTGGCACAAGATCCCTGCCCTGGACCCTGAGAAGCTCAATGTCTTTCGGACAGTGCGGGAGATCACAGGTGTGTGGAGGTTGCCCTTTCTGCGAGGAATAAGTGAACCACTGGCATGTATAACTGCAGTATAACTATAAGAAAAATTGGCCGGGCTTGGTGGCTCAGCCTGTAATCCCAGCACTTCGGGAGGCCAAGGCAAGTAGATTGCCTGAGCCCTTGGGTTCAAGACCAGCCTGGGCAACTTGGCAAGACAATAAAAAAATTAGCCAGGCGTGGTAGCGCGCACCTATAGTTCCAGCTACTTGGAAGGCTTAGGCAGAAGGATCACTGAGCCCAGCAGGTTGACACTGGGTGCCCATGAGCATATCACCACATTCCAGCCTGGGCAATGGAGTGAGACTCCAACTCAACAAAAAGAAAAAAAAGGTTTTTTGTTTTTTTTGTTTGTTGAGTTGGAGTCTCACTCTGTCGCCCAGACTGGAGTGCAGTGGCCGCTTCCGGCC